TTTAGGCCAAGTCCTTTCTGAGGCCTGAACCCTAAACCAACCCCCTTCAGCCCCCTATATACCCTGACTCCGATGTAATCCCTGCAGACCTTAAGCCCTCAATGCTCCAAGTCTTGCTCGTTTGAGCAGGCGCAGGCCGAGGGAGTAACGACGGCGCCGGCCCCAGGATGTACTGACTTCACAAACCCTTGGATCCTATCCTGCAGGGCCAAGTGATGCGGCAGTGGTTCAGGGGTGTACAGGAAGGTACAAGGCCTACACCAGGCGCTCGGTGGACTTGCATGTGGCTTCATGGACTTGAACGCATCCATCCACTGCAGGCGACATCATCGGCACAGTCATAGCCCACGGCAAGAAGCCCTACTGGGCCAGGCTGGGTGCTTGATTTTAGACCTTTAGGGCCGAGGTCTTGGCATGATAAATAAGGGACCATACTCAGCGAGTGGCCACGTCACAGATCATGACGGGAAAGGAAGTAGGCTGCTATGGCTTGTATCCAGAACTGTACCTAGTGCCGTAGTAGTGCGACCAATGGACTGAAGCTCCCCTCTGGGTGAGGATTCAGTGATTTTTGCGACCCGTAATTTTCGAACCCGTCCTATAAGCCCAAGACTCGACATTCTCTAAGCCCTACTGCCCTAACTTCGTCAACACCTAAACCCAAAAGCCCCGAACCCTATGCCCAAATCCTTCAACCCTAAACCCGAAACCCCAAACCCTAAACCCTAAACCCCAAACCCTAAACCCTAAACTCTAAACCCTAAACCCTAAACCCTAAACCCTAAACCCTAGCACATCCTAAAGCCAACGTCGTGACCCCTTAAAACTGAGGGGCCGCGCCCACCACTACCACTGCACGCTGGACAAGGGCCCCTGGCCTGGCTTGCTATATAAGGGTCCGACATGGCGCGGTTTATGGGGTTTGGTGATGGGGTTTCGGGTTTAGGGGCGCGTTTTGTGTGCAGCTAGGGTGTATATAGGGTTAGGGATGTTTTGTTTTGGGTAGAGGTCTCCGGTGCTGCGCTCGAGCGTGTAGGGAGGTTGGGAGGTTTGCGACGGGTTTAGGCCCTTTAAAGGCTTTAATTTCGGGATCTAGCCTTTAGGGTGTTAGGGCTGTAGTGTTTGAGGGTTTCGGGTTCCCATGTCGGGCTATAGGGCTTGCTGTGACGTGAGGCGAGAACACTGTTGATGCTGACCTCGTCCGGCTGTGCTACAAGAGCATCGCCGACAACGGCGGCCAGTTCGTGCAGGCGGGCGACGTTGTGCAAGCACTCTGGACACGTTTTGGTGAAGAGAGGCGACGTTGTGGGTTTTTATACCTCAAATCCACAAACCCTAAGCCAAGAACTCAAAACCCCACAAAGCCCGAAACCCTAACTCCTTGGCCTCATGGTTCATACAGGGTTTTGGGCCGTTTTTCAGGTTTGCCAAGGCTGGGATGTGAACTCAAGAGCCCTGCATCAAACCTTGCAAGGTATTTGTGGGATAGATCGTCGGCAAGTATGCAAGGAAAGACCCCATCTTTAGAGCCCGTTATTCAATTCTTGGAGGGAGGGGTTGTACACACACCTATATATATATATATATGTATATATATATATATATATATATATTTGTACATGTGTATATGTGCATATATATATACACAAATACAGAATGAGTAATTATGTCAGTACCCAATCTTCGGGGCCCATGCTTTCAACCCTGGACGAAACATCAAACCCTAGATCCTAAAGACCCTAATGCAGGATCGGCTCCGCGAGGGCTACGTGTCCTTCATGACAACACCTGGCGGCTACAACGACTGCCACTCTCCTGGTTTGGAATTCTACCTGGACTCTAGTTGCAGTTCTTTCTTTCTAGCATACCTAATATTGCAGTATATATGATTGTTATGGGTATGATACTTACCACAAAAAGGTACCACAACATGATATCTACAATTTAGTGTGCAGGCAGGTAGCTGGGGCGTGCGCGCTCTTTCCCTGGAACCTAAACCCTGTCATGTGCCCGAGGCTACATGAGCACCACGCATCGCATGTTCTTCGCCAACCGCCAGCCTGTGCCCCAAGAGACAGCCAGCCTGCGCCTGTATAAGTTAGAAGCATGTTGTTTAGGTCTCAGGGTTTTGGGTCTAGGGCTTCCCGAAACCTTAGACCCCAAACCCTAGCCCAGAAACTGAGCACCCTCCCCTCCCCCCCCCCCCTCCTCCCCCTCTCCCTTCCCCAGACAAACGAGTGCCCGGCACACGTTTCAGTTCTTATAGGGATTTAGATGATCATTGCAGGGTTCAGGGTTGAGGTTTCTGAGGGTTCAAGCAGATCAGGGGCAGTAGCCAGAATGGAACTTCTGCTTGAGGCGTGGGGTGCCGCTGGAGAAGTGCCCTGACAATGATGGCGGCCTCCTCAGCACCTCAAACCCCAACCCCAGTGCACCCATCTAAATACATTGCCAAAATAAAACAAGCAGAATATAGACATATATATATATATAATATGTGGATATATACATATATCTATATACATGTGTATATTATACAGTTGCTCATTATTATTCTTCCTCTCATTATGATGATGATGTCTTGTAAGCCGGGATTTAGGCGTGTCAAATGGGTTTAGGGTTGGAGGGTTTGGGCTCAAGAGGAGCCAGGGTTTCCAGGTAACCCCTGTGAAGTGGGCCTCAACCACATAACACACAACCCATAACCCTAATTGGCACACAACCCCTGCCCTCAACCCCTGCCCTCAACGTTGAAACCTGAATTTAAAAAAACCCTGAATTCGCAAACAGTGTGGGATTTGGGGGAGGTGGGGGGTCGGGGGGGTTGGGAAAGTAGTTAAAAAGATTAGAGAGGTCTTTAGCAATAAGTGATTCGGGCTTTAAGCCGCAAACCCAAAACCCTCGACCGCTAGCTTCGAGAGCCGTTCCCTGACAGCTTGGCATCCTAAGCCAGCCTTCTGGACTTAGGGTTTAGGAGGGCTCCTGCAGGGCTTCTGGATTATAAGTTTATGGCTTATTGCGACTAAGCCTTAAACGTTCCCCGGGCCTCCCAAGCACCCCCTGAAGATACCCAAACTACCCCAATTCATGTACACCTAGGCCCTCATTAAGGGGTACTGGGGGTTTTAGGGTTTAGGGTGTAGGATTTAGGGCTTGACCTGAACTCCACGAGACCCGGATCTGTGACCAAGGCCACAACGTTGACACCACGTGCGGCCTGCCGATGACCGCCCCCCATCTTGAATTCCAGGGTACGTTTGTGTTTTCTGGGCATATATAGACGGCTTGTTCCCCTTATACTAACAGTCCTTGAAAGGAACTATATAGTACCCCTACTGTAATCCCTATTAAGGACTGTTAGTGTATAAGGGGGAACATCCCAACTTATAGCGGTTGTGTTTCATTCATGGGTTCGCGCATCATTAGAAAGGATTTCTCGGGCTTAGGGCTTATAGAGTGTATGGGTGTCAGAGATTGGGTTTTTCAACAGTCAGGGAGGTATATTCAGGGTTGCGCATGGGCATTTCCTTTGGGCCGCAGTTGTTTCAAGATTTGCCGCTTTCCCGAAGCCCTGTTTGCAACAGAGACGAGGTTTATATCTATTTGTGGCACCCCAAACCCGAAGCCCTAAACCCTAAAACCCTAAAGCCCCAAAGCCCTAAAACCCAGTCCAAGCTTTGAGAAGCCATGAGTTGCTGAATAAGCAGTTCTCGACTCGAAAGCGCACTACGCAAGCCCGCAAGGCATGTTTGTAGCCCTTAACCCTTTAGTTTTTGCAATAGGAAAAGCTTGAGATGTTCCCTCTTATACTAACAGTCCTTACTGGGGATCATAGTACCTCCTATGATAATGCCTAGTCAGTACTGTTAGTATAAGGGGGAGCATCCCAAGGAAAAAGCCTCACAGAATCCTCGGCGAAAAGCCTCGACAACCCGAAAAGCATCCTCAACACCGATAGGGTTTAGGGTTTAGGGTTTAGGGTTTAGGGTTTAGGGTTTAGGGTTTAGGGTTTAGGGCCAAGAACATGGGTAGGGTAAAAGCCTCCAGGTATAATATAGGGGCCTGACTAATTAGAATAGGGGTTTGGGGTTATTTTTGTGTCATTATACAGGGACCCTAAGTGGGGGTTACTATATGATCATTACAAAGGGACCCTAAGGGCATACTTCTTGTAGTTAATTCCGACCCCCTGTATTACCTTATAAGCCCTAAACCTAAACCCTAAACCCTAGACCCTAGACCCTAAACCCTAAACCCTAAACCCTAAACCCTAAACCCTAAACCCTACATGATAACCTCAACCATCAATGGCCCTAAGCCTGAAGAAGGTGCCGGTGGCCCTTTCAACTGCCCATCTCCCAGCCGACCTGGCGCGCAAGCAGGCAGGTTTAGGGTTTAGGGTTTGGGGTTTAGGGTTTAGGGTTTAGGGTTTAGCGTTTAGGGTTTAGGGTTTAGGCCGGGTTCCTTCAAGTTGCTCGTGAAAAGCTGCAAGCAACCAACTTCAGGAGTAGACTTCGTTTCCACATGTTCTTGACTCGCTTGACCCATGCAAAAAGAGCTGGCAAAGTTTGTTGGGTTGCTTACGACAGTGGGTGCACAAAATCCTGCATGACCTCCTATATGACAAGGATGTGACTGTTAGCAGTCGAGCCCATCCGGCCCCTCAAATGTCAAAGTTGCGCCCATTATCATCCACGAACTGGCTGTATTTGACGTCGCCAAATGTTGACGGCATAAAATAGGGGTATTTTCATTGATCACTCGGCAGGATCTGTTTTTTCCGCATCGTACCTTTAGCCAAGGGTATGGTCGGGTAATTACCTTGCGATACTGCTCCTCCTGCCTTCCAAGGTATCACTGGACACTGCCCTGTTTCGCTTCAAGAGGCTTTTCTTCCAGCGTCCTATCGTAAAACCGCTGTGGATGAGTTGGCCGGCTGTATAGCCCTTGTGTAAACATTGCATACACTCGGCTTACAGTCGGTTCGACTCCGTCTTGCCATGGCAGCTGTAGCGCTGGAACACTCAGATCTGGAACGGCATCAGGTTGACATGATGCGTCAGCAGCGACGCTTGTGGGTGGAGGGTCGTTTTTGCGATGTCGCGCTCCGGAGCCGTGACGGCAAGGAACATCGAGCGCATGCGTCGGTACTCTGTGCAGCCAGCACCTTTTTCGATTCTCTCCTGGGAGGGTCGTTCCTTGAAGCAGACCAAGTGCAACTAGGTCAGCCAGTGGAAGTTGCTGCTTCCGATGCAACCGTTCATGCCCTGCTTGAGTACATCTATGGCGGGCAGCCGGAAGTGCCATGGGAAGATTCGATTGAGTTGCTCCGACTGGCAGATGCCTATCACTTGCCAGCCTTGGCAGCGGCAGCCGAGGCAGGGCTCCGTGCCTCTTTGGACAACCACCAAGGCACAGCAGACATCGCGGACCTAGCTTTGAAGATTCTGCGGCAGACTCAGGGCCTCTACGGTTTGAGGGCTGCATGCGAGGTGAAAGTTGCTGCCCACTTCGTGGCTTGCATGCAGCACCCAGATTTTCTGAAGTTAAGTGGTAGCCAGTTGGCGAAAATCTTGGAAAGTCCCGATTTAAGCGTCCCTCGCGAGGAAGAGGCGTTGAAGGGCCTCATGAAATGGCTCAAGGGCTCCAAAGATAGGGCCGATGTCTTTGCAGTGCTGTTGCGAAATGTGGATTTTCGATCAATCTCCTTTGGAAATTTGGCTCGGACGCGCGAGTTTGCTTCATCGATGGGCCCCATTGGAGATGACCTGCAAAGGGAAGTGGATGAGGCCTTACTCGCTGGCAAGAAGCGAAGCCAGCTAGAAACCCCAGATTCCTTCCGACCCAAGAGGCGTTGCTTCCAACGCTGGTCGCCCGAGTTGGGCGCCAGCTGCGAAGGTTCTGTGCGGAGAGTAGTATCCACATCTTTCAGTCCCGAGTCTTTGTCTCTTCATGAAGATGCCATTTACGCTGATCAGGGTGACATCGTCCTTTGTTGGAAACCTGGTGACGTTAGCCCTCGAGTTGTTGCAGGCCAGGGTTGGAGAGCGGATGGCATCAAGCTTTCGGAGTCTTGCCATGTGTCTGTCTCTCCGAGTGGCCCAATTATTGTAGCTGATTTGAAGAATCGGCGGCTGGTCAGCATCGAAGATGGTTTTGGAAAGCTGGTGCTTGCTGATGTGGAGAACTTGCGCAGTGTGTTTTGCTCGCCCAATGGAGTCATCTACGTTCTGAATTGCAGGGGAAGAGCCGTGCAGAAGTTGGTCGGCGCAACGCTTGAACCAGTATTCCTCAGTGAGCATTTGCCATCGGGCCTTCAATTTGTGGCGTCCCGCCTGTTCGTGACGAGTGAAGAGGTGATCTATCTCAGCGACCATGTCAACCGCCGCGTTCTGCGCTTTAGTCTGGGTGACACCACACCTGTCATAGTGGGCCAGGTCCCCGACGAGAACTCCAATCTGCAGGGGCTGTATGTGACCGAAGATGGGACGATCTACGCTGCTGACTCAGAACTGGAGCGTGTGTGGGCTTTCCATCCAGGCAGCACGGCGCCCATCGAAGTCGTGCGGTGTCCGACTGATGCGTGGCCTTGGACAGTCCTTGTCCACGACCAGTTGCTGTATGTTAGCCAGAACGGGGGAGAGTGGGGCAGAGGCATCTATGAATATTCGTTGCCTCCGGCGTTGCAGCTGGAGTGACATCAAGTCTCGGAGTGGAACCTACAAGTTGGTGATGTCACGCCATAAATGGCCCTCTACTAGCGCCTCGGAGAGTTGCAGCTGGGATGTCGGGCGAGCTCTCTTTAAGCCCGATAGACCCTAAACCCTAACATCGTCTGCCGTACTCTAGACCCTATAAGCCGTAGGCTTTGTTGCTGGAGCCCTAAACCCAAGCATACACCCTAAACACTATACACCCTACACCCGAAACCCAAAACCCAACTAGGAATTGGGGCTCAGGGTCTTTGGAATGGAGCTTTGAGGATTTAGATTTCGGGCCTCAGCGCTTAGACTTTGGAGGTTCTTTTGGATCTTGGTCTGGGGTCCGGCCTGTTGGGGTGTAGGGTTTGGGGTTTGGGGTTTGGGGCTGGGGGTTTGGGGCCTCCTGATTCCCTGTTTGCTGGTGACAGGTCGCCGATGCCGTGGCCGTGACGCGAAAGAGCTACTCGCCGAAAACCCTCAACCCTCAAAACCCCAAACCCTAAACTCCTAACCCTGAACCCTGAACCCCTAAACCCCTCAAAACCCCAATTCCTAAACTCCTAAGCCCAGAAAGACGGATGGGCTGAGGGCATTGGGTATAAGAACTTTCAGGTTTGCCTTGAACCCTTTACTACACCCTAGGGCTGATGAGCTCGCAGGGGTTGAAGATGGTTTAGGGGGTTTATTTATGGGGTTAGGGTTTAGGGTTTAGGGTTTAGGGTTTAGGGTTTAGGGTTTAGGGTTTAGGTTTTCAGGATGTTACTGGGGGTTTAGGGTTTTGTGTTTATAGGGCTTCAGGAGTTATCTGGGGGTTTAGGGTGTAGGGTTTACGATGCTTTCAGGAACAAAGGCTTGGGGCCCAGCACTTAGGGGTTTGGTGCTTTACCTGGCTTGTTCATCAAAATCCCAAAACCCTAAACCCTAAACCCTAACCCTAAACCCTAAACCCCTTAAACCCCTTAAACCCCTAAACCCCTAAACCCCTAAACCCCTAAACCCTAAACCCTAACCCTAAACCCTAAACCCCTTAAACCCCTTAAACCCCTAAACCCCTAAACCCCTAAACCCCTAAACCCCTAAACCCCTAAACCCCTAAACCCCTAAACCCCTAAACCCCTAAACCCCTAAACCCCAAACCGGGGGACGGAGATCCCAGGGATGCCTAAGGACTTTGGAGTACCCTGCCAGGGCCTGGGCAGCTGGGGGTTTAGGGTTTAAGGGTTTATAGGTTTTAGGTTTCAGGTTTTTGGGGTTTATGTTTGAGGGTTTAGGGGTTTAAGATGGTTTAAGGGTTTAGGTTTTGGAGCTCTTTCGGCAGTTAAGAGAAAACCCAAAGCTCTGAACCCTGAAACCCTAAACTCCTAAACTAATTACTCTACACCCTAAACTCCAACCCTAAACCGCAAAACCCTAAGCTCTAAACCCTCTAATCCTAAACCTCAGAGGGTCAGGGCCTATCCCCGAGGTCGCGCCTGCCAGGAGTACGCCGGGCTGCTACCTGGACGCATGCGCTAAGACCCAGTGGCCCAGAGTGGGCCCTTCAACTTTTTCCCTTTGAATTAGGCACCCTTGAAAACCCCAAACCCCAAAAATATTTAAACTAGTGATACTCTGCGACCCACGGTAGATGGAGGAAATCTTGCGCCGCCTATTCTCACTCGTCTAGGTTGACACAGGGTCGCCACCCCGAACACCCTTCTTAACCTTAAGTTTACTGGCACTGTGGAGGCGGTGCAAGATTGATGCCATTGGGCCGAATGTGCTGAACCTCATTTTGAAACAATGCTAACACGGGGGAGGTGCAGGGCGTAGCTACTTCTGTATCCTTAGAGCGGTGCCAGATTTCTTCCATCCACCGTATTGCAGTGCCGTCGGTGGCCTTGGGCGCTTTGTGTGGCAACTCGCAATCCCCGTGCTCAAGTCGGGTTGGGTTTAGGGAGAGTTTAGGGTTTACAGGGTTATAGGTCCTATGAGGCTTTAGACAAAAAAAGAATGAATGCCAAGGGGCCAGCGGTCAGGGTTGCCGCGCATTCTGCAGGGCTTGGGCCATCGATGTAGTTCAGGGCAACATCTTCATCAGATTTGTCAAGATATGTCCTCAAAGTTTGGTTTCGGGTGCTCACGCCCTTGACGCAACGTAGCCACTTTTTTGCGCAGGCTTCTGTACGGAGTGGTTGGGCCAATTTTGTACCCGCATAGATGCTCCAGACCTCCTAATCGTAAGTACCAAGTACTGATTCGAAATCTGAGAATTTGTAGGGTTTAGTCCTAGGCTACAATCTGCCTGTGCAAGCAATGTTGTGCATTCGAATGATTTCTGGCAGCGAGGTGGCTCAGCTGAGGCTGGAGGATGTGCGACGTCCAACTGAAACTGAGAAGGGGGAGAATGCATCCACATGCCGCGTGCGCGATCTGAAGCTCCATCTCCAAGAGCTTTGTGGGCAGCCTCGGTTTCGACAGCGACTACTACAAGAGGATGGGCAGATACTGGCCGATGGGGCGATGCTGGATGTGCCGCAGCCGCGCGTATTGCAGCTAGTCTTGCTGAGCTTTGCCGAGGCTACTGCCGATCATATTGAGAGGCTGCTGCAAGCCGTGCAAGAAAGTGACGTGAGTCAAATAGAAGCAATTCTGCAGAGACCACAAGACCCAAGCTTGGCGGGACTGCACAGCATCGCACCCCTGCACGTCGCTGCCAGAATCGGGAGCGAGATGGCTGCAGCGCTGCTGCTTGAGGCTGGTGCAGACAAAGACCAAGTGACAACAGGTGGAGCCACGCCTCTTCTGGAAGCATCTCTGAATGGCCGCTCGGAAGTGGTACGTTTGTTGCTTGAAGCTGGCGCGGACAAGGATGCAGCCGACACGAATGGAGTCACGCCTTTTCACATCGCATGTTGGAACGGCCACTCGGAAGTTGCACGGTTGCTGCTTGAAGCTGGTGTGGACAGCAATGCAGCCATAACGGATGGATTCACGCCTCTTCACTTGGCATCAAACAACGGCCACTTGGAAGTTGTACGCCTGTTACTTGAAGCTGGCGTGGACAAGGATGCAGCCATCACGACTGGAGCCACGCCTCTTCACATCGTATCTCAGAACGGCCACTTGGAAGTTGCACGTTTGTTGCTTGCATGTGGCGTCGACAAGGATGCAGCGGACACCAATGGACACACTGCTGTTTACGTCGCATCTCTGAACGGCCACTTGGAAGTTGCACGGTTGTTGCTTGAAGCTGGCGTTGACAAGGATGCACCCAACACGAATGGAGCCACGCCTCTTTACATCGCATCTCAGAACGGCCACTTGGAAGTTGTGCGTTTCTTGCTTGAAGCTGGCGTTGACGAAGATGCAGCCAGGACGGATGGATTCACGCCTCTTTACATCGCATCTCAGAACGGCCACTTGGAAGTTGCACGGTTGTTGCTTGAAGCTGGTGTGGACAGCAATGCAGCCATGACGGATGGATTCACGCCTCTTCACATAGCATCTGACAACGGCCAGTTGGAAATTGTACGCCTGTTGCTTGAAGCTGGCGTTGACAAGGATGCAGCGTACACCAATGGATTCACGCCTCTTTATATGGCATCTAAGAACGGCCACTTGGAAGTTGCGCGTTTGTTGCTTGAAGCTGGCGTTGACAAGGACGCAGCCAGCACGAATGGAGCCACTTCTCTTCGCATCGCATCTCAGAACGGCCACTTGGAAGTTGCACCCTTGTTGCTTGAACTTGGTGTGGACGGGGATGCAGCCAGGACGCACCCGACTCACGATTCACGGCTCTTTACATCTCATCTCAGACTGGCCATTCGCAATTTGTACGTTTGTTGCTTTAGTTTCGCGCGCGCAGAAATGTAGACTGCACCAGCCTGCACCCTTTAATTGAACCCCTGCGCCGATCCATAACCCTAAGCCCTTGCAGGACGAAAGGCCAACTTTTCTGGGGAACTATCCCAACATACACACTTTATTTCCAAGCGGTTCTCTGGTCCCAGGCGTCTGGGCTTCCGAGAATCTTGGTTTATGGCCTAGTTGTATAGGGTTTACGGCTTTAGAGTTTAAGACGAATATGGCTTGGGTCTTGGAGCGGAGCCCTGAGATAATATTACTGGGCCCCCAAAGCCGGCAAAATGGTCCTTATAGGGAAAAGCCTAGGAGCTTCTTGGGCTTCAAGCCTAAATTCGAAACCTTAAAACTCTGAAGCCCTCCCGGTTCAGTTTGTTTTGGGTTAGACACCCCCAATATCCCCCAATTACCTTGAACAGGTGGTCTAGGGTTTGGCGTTCAGGGCAAACCCTAAACCCTAAACCCTAAATCCTAAACCCTAAACCCTAAGCCGTCAGTAGGGTTTAGGGTTTGGGGTTTAGGGTTTAGGGCAGTTCATGGCTTGACCTGGCGGAATTCCCCCCCAAGGAGCCGTTTCTTCTCTCTGAATTTCAATGAAAGATGCCATGGAAACCCCAGACCTCGAAAGCTACAACATCCTTCGCACTGCAGACCCTGAACCCTCAACCCTAAATCCTTCTTCTCAATCCCAGAGTTTCAAACCCCCAACCCTATAAATCCCAACTCCCTGCCCCCTTCAACCCTCAACCCCGAAGCCCCTACAACCCTAAATCCATAAACCTCCGCCCCAAAAACCCTGAATCCGAAGCCCTGAAACCCACTCCTGAAACTCCTGACCCCAAATCCCTACTCCCGAAAGCCGTTAAATCCGCAATCCCCGCAAGCCGCAAACTCGCCAAATTCACCAACCCCCTAATCCCAGAGCGTCCTCTTTTTGTGTGTGTGTGTGTGTGTGTGTGTGTGTGTGTGTGTGTGTGTGTGTGTGTGTGTGTGTGTGTGTGTGTGTGGTGTGTGTGGTGTGTGTGGTGTGTGTGGTGTGTGTGGTGTGTGTGGTGTGTGTGGTGTGTGTGGTGTGTGTGGTGTGTCTGGTGTGTGTGGTGTGTGTGGTGTGTGTGGTGTGTGTGGTGTGTGTGGTGTGTGTGGTGTGTGTGTGT